TCTTTATTACTGTAGAATTTTCCGAAAACACACTAACCATATTGGAATTTTATATATATTTAGGTTACACTGGGGTGTACATAGATGCTTCCAAAAAAAGCTACATATGTACGTAGTGTGCTATAAATAACAAATTTGTGTATGCAGATACAAATACTGTTACCATTACCGTTACGTACTATTTTTTTATCTTCCGTTTTTGGAATGAGGTGATGTGTAATTAAATTAGAACATGTACATGTACATGTATTCTGCAAGTTGCATATGATATTAAAAAACCAATTAAATTGATTTCTCAAATAATATCATCATCACAATATCATCATAACGATAAACAAGACAAATTCTAACAGTTCATTTAGATGACCTATTTAATAATTGCTTGCAGCACAATGAGAAAGTATCGATATCGACGATCGTTCAATGTGGGATCGGCATTCGGCCTAATATTTTATCGTCGGGGTTCAATATTTTTGCGGGCTGAGTATCATTTATTAGAAATCAGCGGGCTGACAAATACTTACATTTTCGATTTTTTTCGACTGTTATATTTGAATACAAATTTTTTAAGAGTAGAAAAAGGATATAAGAAGGTTAACCAAGAGCTTTAAATCGATAGTTTGCTTTTTCATTTGTTATTCTTTAATTTTAATTAATTTATTCTATTTTACTCTGTCTTGCGTTGAACCTATACATACATACTTTCGTACGTACATGCATAACCACCAATCGAATTAACGAACAAATAAAAGGTTAGCGTTAATAACAACACTATTGACCAACTAATTATTCTATTAATAGATTTCTTTTATATGTAATTTCATGCAAAAAAAATATTTTGAACAATTTATAAATTCAGTTTTCTGTCTTTTTTTTCGTTTTTGAATCGAATCTTCTCTGCCTATTTTTTTAATCGACTAATTATTTAATATTATTATACATAATCGTCTAAATAGTCGTAAAATGGCATCTTCAACAACAACAACAACACCAAACATTGTAATCGTCGGAGGTGGATATGCTGGTGTTCAAGTAGCCCAAAGTCTCGACAAATCCCTCTCGAAAACACATCAAATAATTCTCATCGAGAAAAAGACACATTTCTATCACTCAGTTGGTTCACTACGTGCAATGGCTGAAGAGAATTTTGAGGAGAAAATTTTGATTCCGTATACTTCGCTATTCAAACACGGAGGAAAAGTCGTGCATGCTACCGTTACCACAATTCACAAAAATGAAGTGATTGTTAGTACGGAAACTGAATGGGGCACTCATATTCCATTCGAGTATTTGGTTGTCGCTACGGGAAGTTCGTATGCTGCTCCGGCTAAAGTTGATCGGACGACAAAAGATGAGATTATTCCAGAGATCAAAGAAAGACGTGATGCTGTCAAAAATTCCAGCAAGATTTTAATTATTGGAGGTGGTCCAGTTGGCATTGGTAAGAATATTTTATTTTATTTTATTTTTTAATAGTAATTAGCATAAGATCTAACTGTTTGCTAATCACAATTTTTTCAAATTTAATTTAGAACTTGCCGGAGAACTTGCAACTGTACACAAAGAAAAAACAATCACATTGGTACACGCTGGAGAATCTCTCCTTCGCCCCAGCTTTCCTAAGAAACTTCGAGACAATTTACATAAACAACTCGAAGACCTAAACGTAAAGTTAATATTGGGTGAAAAAGTAATATTCCCGGAAGGTGGTCTCGGTGATGGTCTCACTTCACAAACCTTACAGACGGATAAAGGCACCCCAATCGAAAGTGACATACAATTTTTTACTATCGGTGCAAGTCCAAACACATCTCTTATCAAAACACTTGACGCTTCGCTTCTTGAAGAAGAAACGAACCTCATTAAAGTCTCGCCGACACTTCAACTTGAACACGAAGAATTTAAACATATTTTCGCAGTTGGCGATGTCACAAATGTCAAGGAAACGAAATTGGCTTATCGTGCTGGACAACAAGCAGTTATCATCACGAAAAATGTCGAAGCTTTGGTTGCTAAAAAGAACTTATCAGACTACAAACCGGGAGCCGAAGTTCTCTTTGTTACAATTGGTAAAAATGGTGGTGCTGGATTATTGCCAATTGGCGGCCTTGTCGTTGGACCTTTCATGGTAAAAAGTATCAAAGGAAAGACTTTATTTGTTGACAAATATTGGAAACAACTTACTGGTAAGGCTCCGCCTTCTTAGACATCCGCCAAAACTTCTAGAGTAAACCGCTACTCCGGCTGCCACAGCAACAGCTTAATAATAGTGTATTGGTAGTTATTCTTCGTGTGTGTTTTCTTGGGTGTATTATTTTTATGGACAATTTATTTACAAAAATGGCTTTGATACCAATAATATGTTCGATCTCGTCTTCGTGGCGTAGTCGTCGTATCTTATATTTTATATTATAGTTTTCTTATCTTTAATTTAACGATACTGATACGTATTCATAATAATAATATAATAAAATTGAATATTCATCAAATTTCGAGGTACGAAATTATGCGCTATTGGACTTTTCCTATTTTTCTCATGAATCATTCGTTCCTTTTTTCATTTAAAAGGGTTGATACTTGGTATCGTTATATACAGCACATGTAGAATTTACTTCTACATGTATTATATTGAGGTAGTTTTCACACTCGTGATTCCGGAGAAATTGTTCGCACCGTGACACAAACCAATATAAATGCACAAATTTTTGATCAGTCCGAAAGCAGACGCCTAAATCGGTACACTGGTCTTAGAATCAACCTTTAGCATTAATTAACATTAGCTGGATGTGAACAAATTTTTTCGAGGAAGGGTTCTTACGAGTTTCAATTGCTCTTCGTTCTATTAAAGGAATATATTTTGTTTATCAAGTCCCTCTGCCCTGTTTTAGATAATCCAGAAATTTTTTAAAGCTTCAAGTCCCTCTTGTGCTAAAATCTCAAGGTTTTTCATTTGAATTATCTGAATGCAATTGTAGCAGTTTCAATAGTTTTTTGTTTATCCAATGGTTTTTTCAAGGAATAGGTGAATCAATGACCTTTATCCAGTTATTTAATTATATATGAAATGATTCAATTTCTTGATAAGTCTAGTTTTGATAATAATAAATTGAACTCGTAATCAAATTGCCATTTTTGTTTCATTTGGTAAAATGCCAGTTTTCTTTTAACAATTTCAGAATTACAAGCTCTTAAATATAATAGGATTTATAATTAAAAAAATTCAGGAATTCTTTAAAAAAAGAGCCAGATTTTTTATGAATAATTAGAGAACTTTCTGAGTATTTTTGAGAATTTAAATTTGAAAAGTTTTCTAATTAAATATTTTGATTAATTCGAAATTTGAAAGTTTTGGATTACATATTTTTAATCCAAAAATTTCAAATTATATTTAATTAATCTTTAATCTAAAAGTTTTGAATCAGATTATTTTCAGATTGATTTAAATATAAATTATCATATATTAAATTATAAATATAATTTTTCATTAGAAATTAAAACTTAATTTTGATATATCTAAAATAGAAAATAATTTATGTTTAGAAATATTAATTATAAATACTATATATTTTTATGTGGCAAATTTTTCCGCATAATAATATCGCCATATCGATATATAACTACGTATAAATTTGTTGTCATGTGATTTTTTGCTGAGGACTTTAATTTAGTCACGTATGATTACATAGATAGAAACTACGTGGAAAAATCTTCCTGATATGGATATTAGATCAGCACTCGTTCAGTTGGCAGCTCTAGTTACTATGAAATAAGGTTTGACAATGTTTTGTCTGACTAATATCCGATGCCTCACTTCACTGGCCGAAAAGAACTTTTTTTACCTGCAACTTTACCCGGGTAAACAAATCTTTTTGACCAGTGCTTGTATCTAAAAGAAAATAGAGCAGGAAAAGTAAAGTACCAAGAAAAGGGAGTCCCAACAAGTCGTTGACGAAACGTAACGTTGCAAACAGTATACAGAACGTTTTCTCAAATATAAGTATTCCTACTATGATAAATACCCAAAATCAGTTTTTTGAAACCCAACAGTTAACGATTACCTTCATGAATCGCATCATATATTAGGCTCCCTTTGCTTACACCAAACTTCTCCTTTCCTCATATCCTGAAGCGCTTGAATGTTTCCATTTTCCATTTTGATGCAACTTCTCCGTAACAGTGCTCAAATTTAAGAAGCCAACGGATAACGGGTTTACTGCCTTCTTGTAGGAGAGTTTGAATAAGCATTGCGAGTTAGGCAAAGTGGATTGATTTATTTATTGAAGTTATTTATTTTCTGAATTCATATATAGATGAAAGTCCTGCTGACTGGTAATCAAATCATTGAATAATTTATGTCTGTCATCACTTATCTCTTATCATTATTTAAAAAAATACACATTCAGTTATCACTCAGACCCGGAAACCTCTTTATTACAATGTACGTGTAATAAAAGGAGGATATTATCCTAAATACCTTATCCTAAAAAACTGCAATAGTTCGGGTGAATTCCATATCTGTTTCAGGAATTCCGTAGGATCAATAATTTTTTCATAGCGATAGGGCTATTAGTAAAAAATTTCGAATAATTTGGTTTATCGAGGTGTATTTGTTATAACTGTTTCTAGGTTTATCCAAGTTATTCGTAATATCGAGGTTTGAACGTATAATTAACACTACTATTTTACGTTTAAAGTACAATCGCACCTCGATATAGTCACTCTCGATGTAAGAATAAACACACTTTTTTATTTACACTCAAACCTCGTTTAGTGAAGACATGGGGTAAGGGAAAAAATTGAGAATATTATATTAGCTTCACTATGTCGAGTTGAAGATTCTAAAAAAATTCTTCACTATATCGAGGCTGTATCCTCATGTATAGTACCCTCACAACTTTTTGAGGGGTCCTACGCTAATACGCATTGTCGGATCAAGCAAAGTATGGTACGGGCAACAAAATGTCAGTATGACATTTTTTTACTATACTTTATATCCTGGACCAACACCAAGCCCTTTTCCAAAGTAAATATGGCATACTTATACGCTTTTCTGACCCACACCATATTTCTCCGATGTGTTACCAATAGGAGTAGGGTGGGGACATAAAAGGAGTCATGTAGTGTGACAAAAATAGAATTACGTCTCTGCGTATGAAGAGATATGCGTCGGTTAGTGCTGCAAGCCGACAGAGCTTTTTGTGACTGAGCCTTTAAGCCGTCACCATGAGTCGCCGTGAAGATTTTGAGGCTCAGCCGTTCAAATTTGGAAGTGTAGTATTCATCAATTAGCAGATCATGCAAAATATGCATCTGTTGAACATGTAAATTGCATATTCTAGTTTTTTTTTACGACTTTATTACTTCTTGGAAAATGACTTCGAAATCGTGATAATATCGAAATCCATATTTTGGCAGTGAACCGGGGGAGTAATAATAATAATAATGCCGTTATGAAATATGCTCTTAATATGCCCTATAATAATGATGCGTTATGAATACGTAATGCCATTATTGGATTACCTGATATGATGTTTTGTATAATTTTCCTTTTCTGGAAAATTAATATCAACCGAGCCGGCTCGGCTCGCGAGAAAATAGCAGCTCAGCCAGCCGGAAAATTTTTAATAGCTTGCAGCACTAGCTGGAGGATAAGGTTATTATTTGCCGAAGGATTCTAAATCTATGTACAGTATAGTATAGTTCTCACATGCGTATAAGAATTGTTGATTAGTATAATGATCAAAAATCATCCATTTCTTTGTTTGATCCGACAATACGTATTAGTGTAAAAACCCTTGCTAACCCTTTTTCCGAAGTAAGTATGATATATTTGATCCATACCATACTACTTTGCTTGAACTGATCATATGCTAATACGTATTGTCGGATCAAGCAAAGAAGTACAAGTATTGGTCCAGGATATATAGTGAAAAATCCATACCGTTCTGACCTTTTATTGCCCGTACCATATACGTAGGACCCGTAACATGCTTATTGTAAAAAATGTATAGTACCTGAACTACTATTCAAATAGGATGTTTAATCGACTAATTAATCAAATAAGACTTTTACTTGCCTTTCACTTATATTGAGGAAAATCTTCACCAACATAGGTTTGATTTTCAATATAATGATAAGTCTAACGCTAATAAATTAACAATACGTCGTTACATTAGTGATCACACTCGATACCCCAAAGTCTCTGGACATCTTAAAATGCTTGTTTTGCGAATATCACGCAATTACATACTATTTTTAAATTCTTTGGTTCTACTCGTTCAAATAAGCTCAAAAGCTTGGAAATCCACGCAGTAGTTTCCGAGACATCCCGATTTTAAAAGGGACGTTTGCAAAAAAAAATCATGTTCATCGTTATTATTGGCTATTAATGATTTCGCAAAAATCTAGAACTACGTACTGCGTGGATTTCCAAGATTCCAAATTAATTGTGACATTTGCAAAAATAAGCAAATATTTACAATTTAAAGGGTGTGCGTGCAATTCAGGAGACATTCCTGGTGTAATCTTGTCACACTTAACTACGCAAAGTGATTGTAATGTGGCAACACAAAATCGTAAATTTACAACATTACCTGCCGTATTAGGGATAGTAACGGTAATTCTGTTAGATCGAGAAAATCGCTTCTTAGAATTAGTTTTGAGGCAAAATTAATTTAGAAAGAGTTAATTTAAGAATCGATTTTGTTCTTCGAAATCGATAACAAGAAATTACTCTAAGAATCGATTTTGTTCTTCGAAATCGATAAAAAGAAATTACTTTACATACCGTATCTCGCGGGCTAAAATACGCCGCCTTTTTTCGTGTTCACTGGGAGGGTACTTTACACAAGGATAATGGATACTATTGTCCGAGAACGCACCTTCATCCGTCGTCATTCTATGCATACCATAGAGTACTGCTTAAAATACCCTGGTCTTATTCACGGATCCGGTAATTTGGGTACTTTAAAAAGGGAATACTGCGAAATGGGGGTATTTTAAGCAATGCTATCCGGATCTTATGCAAAAAAAAAAAAAATACGCTCCGCTGAAGGTGTATTTTAGCCCGAAATACGTATAAATAACGCGCATCATACCAAATTTGGCGGTGTTGGCGATTTACAGTGTGTTAAGGCGGCGAGAAAAATCATGTTTTGACAACTACAAAAGATAATTTAATGAAATCTGATTTTTAGAAAGCCCATT